AAAAAAAAAAAAAAAAAAAAAAACACCTGTGGAGAAGACGTCACACCGCCCGCACGTGCTTAGCCCGCGACGCGCGTCACGACGGTCACGAAGAGCGATAACACGAACTCGGTCGGAATCGCGGACAGAAGAACTCAGTCAAGAAAAAAAAAATCAGCCGGAATCACGGACAAATACACATTTCCAAACCGTCGGCTACCTTCGCTGTTCCGACCATCCAGAGTTCAGCCGTCCTGGCGCTCTGGCTGTTCGACTAATTTCGACCAACTTTTGGCCCATAATTAATTGCGATCAGATATATGCAGGAAAGCCCACTTGCGGAGTATGCCCTTAGGTTGTGTGGCTTGCGTCCGCCTCAAATCACAGCCCACTTTCCAAAAAACAAAAAAAAAAAAATCACCGCTCACATTTCTTTTCCCTTCTTTTGAATTAAAAATAAAAATTCTTCCCACGGTCACCCCCCACCATTCGATGACCCCAAGCCCCGCCGAGCCCCACTGTCCTCGTAAACTCGCAGGACTCGATCCCTACACTATCTGCGGCTGGGAAAGCATTTCGCCTACTAGACGAACGGTCCTCGTTCCCAACCTTTTAGCGCCGGGGCAAGGTCCCACTTGCACGGATTAAGAGATTCTGGCCGTTGATTTTGGCTATGTACGGTCAATATCGCTTAATTCGTGTAAGTGGGACCTAGTCCCCGCTGGTGGGACCTTCTGGCCCCTGGGCCAAGTCCCAGGCGGGTTTCCTCACTACCAGCGCCGGGTTTCCTCAACGGCCAAATCTGGAAGGTTTTTTTTTTTTTTTTTATAATTTGGAAGTGGTTGTGCAGATGTTCCACGCCATTTTCTGCACATCTCCGCAGAGACGTCCAGATTCGGGTCTTGGGGAAATTCGAACTCTTCAAACTCTGCTAGTGGGACTTTTTATTTTTTTTATTTTTTTTTTAATGCTAGTGGGACTTTGCCCCTGGTAATGATGCTTAAATCTGATATTAAACTGATCAGATCAGATACGCCACTTGATCTTACTTAGCCAAAAGGCCCAAAAGGAGCGAGAAAGGTATTAAAAAAATAAAAATAGAAAAAAGAAAGAAAGGTATTAAATGCT